GCTGAATTAATGCTCCATTGTAACTGTTTTTATCTTCTGGCTACTGAGAATAGTGGTGCAGTGAACATCGGAATGGAAGTATCTGGGTCTCTGCTTTCAGTTCCAGAGATGGAATTGCAGAATCATGTGCTTAACTTTTTAAGGAAATGCAAATGCACTCTACAGCAGCTGCACCATTTTACATTCCTACCAGCATCGGATACCACTTTCTCCATATCCTTGCTAACCTAACACTTGATATTTCAGTTTTTGGAAACTGCCACGCTAAGGAAAAATAAAACAGTTGCTGCCCAATCTGTGTGAATTAAGAGAATTGCGCTCCCCGTGGTTTTCGATGTCTGTTCAAGACCATGGCAGCAACAAGGGCTCAGGAATAGGAACTGTGAGGATGACGAATGCAGGACTGGGCAGTGCTTCCTTCTGCTGTGCATAAGGTTGCTATGGGTCAGAACTTACTTCAATGGCCCCTAGCAACAAGATTCCAGTCGTTTTAGGACGAAAGTGTGCCTGACCCAGGCCATGGTATTTTCATATGCATGTGAAAGCTGGACAATGAATAAGGAAGATGGAGAGTCATCAACACATTTGAATTATGGAATTGGTGAAGAATATTGGCAGTATTCTGGACTGCCTAAAGAACAAACACAACTGTCTAGGAAGAAGTATAGGTAGAATGCTCCTGAGAAGAAAGGGTGGCAAAACTTTTCCTGACATACTTAGGACATGCTGTCAGAAGGGACCAGTCTCAAGATGGGCACCATGCTTGGCAAAGTACCAATGTTATGGCACCTAACAACATTCGTTTGACCATATTGTAAATGGGCTGTTTTGGAGTTGTAAAAGCTAACTACATATTCTAGATATTAAACTCTGATCAGATTATGATGCCCCCAAACATTTCTCCTTCTGTAGAATTCCTGTTCCCTTTTTTGATAATGCCCTTTGATGCACAAAATGTTTAATATTGATAAATCTTTTTGATTTTTGCTCACACTTCTAATGCCACATCAAAGATTCCAGTGACAAACACAAGTTCACAAAGCTTTAATTAGGTTTTCTTCTAAGAGTGTTATCGTTCTGACAGTTACATTCTGTTTCTTATCTACTTTGAGAGTACCCTGGTGGTACTGCCAGGTAAGCATTTGATTGCTCACCACAAGGTCAGCAGTTGAAAACCACCAGCTTCTCCACAGGAAAAAGATCAGACTACCTCCTGCCATAAAGATCTGTCATCTTGAAAACCCAGTATTGTATTGCTTCCCAAACTTATGTGGCCCACTGCCTTGATTTCAGGGGGGTGAAATATTGCTCAGCACCCCCTGGCAATTACAACCTTTTGGACTATAGCCCATAATCCAAGATAAAGTGTAGGGATCTGTCAACATTTTTTGAAAAGTAAAAAGTATTGACATTAATTCATCTAAAATGTTTAGCAGAGTTCAGCAGTGAAGGCACGCCATACTGGACTTCTCCTTGTTGCAAAGTTTTGGATCACTCATGCAATGTCTTCATATTTTTAAGTCTATTGACATTTTCTATTTTTCTTAGGTCTTTTTTTAGATGTGTTTTCAGGAATTTGTCCATTCCATCTAGGTTATCTTTATGCTGGTAGACACGCGGGTCTGGGTATTCTACTATGATCATGCTGATTTCTACCAGGTCACTAGTGATGGCCTCACTTTCATTCCTGAGTCTTCTTCCGTATTTATCAGTCTTGCTAAATAGGTTTGGTGATTGTAGTGATTTGAAAAAAAAATTGTTTGGGTTTCATTGATACCCTCTAACCTCCATTTCATTTGTCTCCACTCTAATCTTTCCTATTCCCTTCCTCTTGCTACTTTTAGGCTTAGATTGCTCTTCATTTCTAAATTCGCCAAGGTATAAAGTGACCAATTAGAGATTTTTTTAACAATGTAGGTGTTTGAAGCTATACATTTCCCTATGGTTACCATCTTCAAGATACACTGTATTTGTTTAAACAGCAGAATAAAAGATTATAAACAATTCAAAAGATCTGTGAATAGTGGAATAGATAAACTGATATGTTAAAACACATGAAGTATAACACTTCTTTGTTTACTGTAAGAACATGTTCAGTACTCATAATTGCTTGTGCGTGCATGCAGACCCTCTGAAAAGGCACACCAAACTATCAGAAGGGTTGCTTGTTGGCATGAAGAATGGGAGGGCAGAGCATAAGCTGAGACAGAACATTAACAATTTCAACAATGCAAATATACTACTACCCCTTCCCCAAAACTAAACCCTATTGCTGCCGTCAAGTTCATGGCAACTCACATAGGCACAAAAATTAGGTAACTTAATTAAAATAAGTGTGAAATGAAAACTAAGAATTTCTGCTCACCAAGACATTAAATGGTATACAGTCAAGTCACAAATTTAAAGATGGTATTTACAACTGAGGCAACTAAAGAATTAGTGTTAAAATATGTAAGAATGCCTATAAGTCAGTACAAGAAAGACAATTCATTGGTGGAGAGGTAGGGAAATGGACAAAAGATATGAGCATACATCTCATAATAATTATATAGCAAGATATGATGAAATAACAATTTATAAATTATCAAGGGCTCATGAGGGAGGGGGGCCCGGGGAGGGAGTGGAAAAGTGAGGACCTAATGCCGGGGGCTTAAGTGGAGAGGAAATCTCTTGAGAATGATGAGGGCAATGAATGTACAAATGCGCTTTATACAATTGATGTATGTATGGATTGTGATAGAGTTGTATGAGCCCCTAATAAAATGATTTTTTTTAAAATTATATAGCTATCAGTCAATAAACATGAAGTAATATTAACCTTCATTAATAATCAAGTAAGTAAAAATTAAAATATTCAGTAAAAGTAAAAATTAAAATATCACCCTAATTAGGTCAGTAAACGTTTAAGTTTAATGATAGACTGTTGGAAAGGATGTATCAGGGTTCAACAAACTGCAGCCTGTGAGCCAGCCACCTGTTTTGCAAGTAAAGTTTTATTGGAATATCCAAAAAATACAAACTCACTGTCATTGAGTCAATTCCGACTCACAGTGACCCTACAGGACAGGGTAGAACTGCCCCTGTGCTGTTCTGAGGCTGTAGTTTATTTACTGGAGTAGAAAGCCTCATCTTCCTCCTTCAGAGCTGCTAGTGGTTTGGAACTACTGATTTTTCAGTTAGCTGCCCAACATGTAACCACAACGCAACACATATTCCTTTACATATGGTCTATGAGCTGTTTTCTATTTCAGTTGGTAAGCCAGAGTGTATATATTCAATCAGCCTGGAACATTTACTATTTAGTACCTTAAAAATATATAGTTTGCATTATCTACTAAAGTTGAATGTGTACAGACTATATTCAACAATCTTTACAGAGGTGTTGGATGTAATAGCAAAATACATAGGAGACAAATGAAAACAGAAGAACCATACCCAATGACAAGAGAATGCATAAATATGTAAGTGCTACAAAAAGTTTGTGGGAATACGTATTTGAAAGATAATGAAAAATTTCCACCAACTATTTGCAGTTTTCTCATACATGACAGTGAAAATGAGTGAGCTACACCTATATGCATCAAAATGAACACTCTGAAATGTAACACTGATAAAATAAAGCAAATTGTAGAAGAATAAACACAGTATGATTCCATTTGTATGGCGTTCAGCAATATAGGAAACCACATATAAAAACGCTAACAACATACACACACACACACACACACACAGTGAAACTATGAGGAAAAGGCAGACAATTCAAGTCTGTAGTGAGCCTTCTGCTAGTATGGGAGTTATTGTATTTGGAAAGAGGGGAGTGCCAAATCTATCGATACTGATCTATTCTTTAATCTAGTGTTTCTTGCTATTATTTTCTAAGTCACATTATATGTAAGTATTCCTTTAATATGTATTTTATATGTAATAATTTTCAAAATTCTACTAAAAAAGATCTTCAAAAGACCAAACACCTCAACACATGCTACTCTCCCTCGCTGACTTGATAGAGATGCAGTATGAGCGCGCCGGAGAGCCACCACCACCACCACAGTCAGTCAGTGTCCTCACAGCAGTTCCTGTGACTCGGTGATTAACAAAGGGATCGGGGGATAAAAGGCACTGCAAGAAAATGTTATGCACATCTAAGAGATAATCATTTAAAGAACTAAAAACAGTTAAAATAGGAAATACTATAATTGGAAGTAAACCTGATTGTCATCCTTTACCAAACTCACTTAGTAAAATAAGAAAACCATATATATAGGAAACAAATATTCTGGAAATATAGTTAAATTGCTTCCTTTTAGAATTTCATAAAGCTAGTTCCATTCTCATAATCCATCTCAAGAAGAAAAGTCTAAATAGTGTAGCTAATTACTTTCATTCCCTGTTATCTTAGTTTTAAAGGGATACACACACACACACACAAATGACCTCCTCCTTCAGTAAGTGTTAAAGAAAAATCTCAGGAAATAAAGACTAAAAGACTTTATTGGTGAAATAATACACCAATGCACAACTATGATGAGGTCTTACCAAATTTTAACTGGGCTGAAACTTGGCTCTGGATTTCTGAGCGGTGACAGCACAGTAGGCTGCCTCTTCATTTCACTGCCAGCGAGGAATGATGACTCAGCGCAACCCTACAGAATGGAAAACACCTGCCACGGTGGGTTCCTGAGGCGGTAACTTTTGGCGGGATAGAAAGCCTCATCCTTCTTCCCTGGTTTCGAATTACTGACATTGCAGTTAACAAATCTACGCAAGATTTTCGTGATACCAATTTCAGAAAGAAATCTTTCCTGGAAATCTTAAAAAAGGAAAACCCAAACATTAACTATCAAAAAAAACCCAACAACACAGGTTAAAAAAATCAATGGCTTCCTGGGGCCCAAGAGTTGAGGGCAATACATAAAAATGATCTGTGAAAAGAGTATTAAATGAAGTGATTAAATGTCCCTACTTAATATTTATACAATAGTCATGTAAAATATACTGACCTTCTTGAATTGCCCTGTCCACAGTTACTCCAGAAGCTGAATGTATGAGTTTTTGGTAATTCTGTGCATCCTGGTCAAATAACTGTACCAGAAGAGTGCAAGTCTTGTCGTATTCGCATCGACTGACAGTGCACAATTGCTCCAGCTGCTGAAACACAGTAGCGGAATCATCCAGTGGATCATCTAAATGATCTCTACAAATACATTGAAAAAAAGTTTATAAATGGCATTATAATATGCTCTATGTCTACAACCAAAAATATCATTTACTTATGTTAAATAAAGATTCTACAGCGGATAAACAACTCACAGACTAATGACTCAGAAAGAAATAGATGAAAGTGTCCGTGTTTGAAGAAAAGAACTCTGGTGGTTCCACGGTTAAGCGCTCAGCCACTAACATAAAGGCTGACCCTTCAAGCTCCCGAGCCTAACTCTGCTGTGGCCTGTTTCTGTCCAGATTACTGCACTGGGACACTACGGGGCAGTTCTTCTTTGTTCCATAGGTGGGCTATGAGTCACAATCAACTTCACCCTAATGGGTTTTTTTGTACATTTGAAGACAACATGATTTTAAAAGAAAATAACAACAAACGAACACACACACTATCATCAAGTCCATTTCAAATCATAGCGACCAGAGGACTGACAAGAACTATTCTAGTTCCTGAGACCACAGCTTCATCTTTCTCCCACACAACAGCTAGCGGATTTGAACCACTGACCTTGTGGTTAGCATCCCAATGCCTAACCCACAGCACCTACTAGAACAACAGGTGGGACTAGTAAAGTCACAGAACACAAGGTCAATATAGGAGCCAATTGTTTTTTATCTATCTCAGTAAACAACTGATAATTTTTTTAAAGTATCATACAAAAGTACCCCAAAAACCCAAAATGCTAATTAAATCTAAGTAAATGTAAGAAAGAGGTGAATGCTAAAATTTAACAACAGTGCAATCCCATGCTTATTCTAAAATTTCATTACGAAAGCAAAGGAACTAGAATAGCCCAAACCATTTTGAAAGAGGAAAACCAAGATCAAGGATTCAGATGATCAGCCTTCAAACTTACTATATAGCCACACTCATTAGGAAAGGGTACTGGTAGAACAGTAGACCCAGAAATTAATGGGAGTTGAGAGTCCAGAAAGAGAGCCACACATATTTCAGTCGATTAATTTTTAACACAGATGTAAAGTCAATTTAATGGAGAAAAAGGTTAGTCTTTTCAAGAAATTATGCTGAAATAGATATGCATATGCAACCACTGAACCTCAGTCACATAAAAAATTAACTTGAAATACTTCATAGACCTAAATATGAACCCTGAAACTAAAAAGCTTCTAGTAGAAAACAAAATAAAATCTTTGTGACTTCAAAAACACAATCTATAAAAGAAAAAAAAAGATTTCATTGGACTTCATTAAAATTTAAAATTTGTTCTTCAAAAAAATCATTACAGAAATGGAAGTGCAAGCTATGCACTAGGAAAAAAAATGCAAAACACATACATGGCAAAAGGCTTGTGACTGTATTATATTCTTAACAAATTCTGATTTATATTTTTGATTTTTCCCCCCAATGGGCAGTATATACATGGGGGTACTCCCCAACCCCCCAAATTGGATTTCCCCCCAAAAGCTATGTATTGAATTTTTTTTTACAAAACAACCTAATCACATTTGAAGTATTCTCCATTACACTTAATACACTTGTTAAGTCTGCAATTCTAGTTTTGGAAACATTTTTCAAACTCATCTGTGTGAATGGCTGACCGCACCTCCCTCGTTGTTTCCACCTCTTCTACAGCTTCAAATCGCTGTCCTCTCATGTCCCTCTTCATTTATAGAAACAAAATGAAGTCGCATGGATGGGGGTCAAGTGGTTAAGATGTGTGGGTCAAGAGAGGCATGCTGTTTCTTGCCAAAAGCTGGTGCACTGAGTTGGCTGCGTGAGGAGGTGCATTGTCGTGGTGGCAAAACCAGTCCCCCATCTGCCACAAATCAGTCCTTTTTGTCGAACACTGTGTTAAACACAATCTGTTCAAAACCTCTAAATAGAAAGCTTGATTAACAGTCTGACCTGGTAGAACAAACTCCAAATGTAATATTCCCCTCACATCAGAAAACAAATGAGCATTGTCTTGATCTTTGATTTCATTTGAGCATTTTGGGGGTAGGTGATGATGGTATTTTCTACTGGCCTGATTGATGTTTCCTGTCAGGGTCCTAAAAACAGCATCATGTCACTTCACCAGTAATGACCTTGGGAAAAAAAGTCTGGGTTGCTTCAGAGCAGTTCTTTCAAAGCACGGCTTGTTTCCAGTCAACACTCCTTTGAGACACAAATTTCACAGCAACCCTTCTCATTCTCAAATCTTAAATTCACTGAACTGGGCTCCAAGATAGTTCAAATAACTTCCTCATCTCTTCAATGGTCCATCGTCAGTCTTTGAGCACAAGTGCACAAATTTGGTCAACGTTTTCATCCATTCAGGAAGTTGACGGATGTCCAGAACGAGATTTGTCATCACTCAACATTTCACCTTTTTGAAATGAGAAAAACCACTCATACACTTGAGTTTTTTCCCACAGCGCTGTCCTTGTAGGCTGTATTCAAGATCACAACAGTTTCTGTCATTTTTCCCGATCAGGCAACAAAATTTCACAGCTGCACACCATTCCCTTAAATTGGCCATCACAAAAAACGAGGTTCGAGTGAAACTGTTTATGAAAAAACTCACTGTGACCAGAGAGAACCTTTTCCCAGGCGACGCCACTGGGTGCACTAATGCAGAACAAGTTGCTGGATGCGTGCCTACTGTGAAAAATGCATGCTACAAAAGCTGAAAGCTCCACCCAGCGGAGTTTTTTTTCCATTTTAGGGGGTGGGGGTTCCCTTTTGTATTTGACAGCTTTTTTTGCCAAAAAATTCATATACAAAGGACATGCTCAACATCATTTCTCATTATTGAAATAAAGAGGGAACCCACAATGAAGTACCACTACATACCTATTCAAAAGCCAAATTCAATGTTGACTCATAGCAACCCCCTGTACGTTTCCCAGGTGGTTAACTGTTCGCAGGTGGGAGTAGAAAACCCAGTCTTTATCCCATGGAGCTGCTTGTGGTTTCAAACTGCCAACCATGCAGCTCGCAGCCTAACACTAAACGCCACACCATCAGAATGGCTACATACCTATTAGCATGAAAAACGGAAAAAAAAAAAGAACAACCCAAACACACACACACACACACACACACATGCACGCGCGCACGCGCGCGCAAAAAACACCTGATAATATCAAATGTTGGTATAGCTGCAGAGCACTTAGATCTTTCAAACACTGCAAGTGGAAATGCAAAATGGTTTGAAAAATAGACATTTTTAAAATAGTAAATTCCAGAATCAGCAAAAGAATGCATAATTACCATGTGACCAAGGATTAAATACTTTAAAGTTTTTACTCTAGAGAAATAAAAACTTATGTTCACACATATATTGGTACAGGAATGTTTATAATGGATTTATTCACAATTGGTCTAAATGGCGACTACCCAAATGCCCACCAACAGGTACATGGATTAAAAAAAAATCCTTGATGTAACAGGAGAAATTTTCAAATGTATTATGCTAAATGAAAGAAGCCAGACAATACGGCAAAACAATATGATTTCATTTATACAACATTCTGGAAAAGGTACAAACTACAGGTATAAAGACAGATCCGTCATTGACAGGGGCTGAGAATGCAAGGGATACAGAGGACCCTAACAGACCTTTTCTACATGGCAGGGCCGTGCTGGTCCTTGATCATGACAGTCGTTTAATCACGACTTGCACTCATCAAGACAACTAAGGGTGAATTTTATGTTGGTTAATTAAATTTAAATATAAAACACAAAAGATAAAAGCAGAACATGGATATTTCATTTTCAGTACCTCACAACTACGGCAACAGATTCCAAACGAGAAGTGACGTACGCCTTCGTGATTTCCGGAGCGTAGGTGTCTAACAGATGGGGCTCAGTTGATTTCACAAAAGGAACGGACGCCACCATCTTCTGCCACAGCGTTAATAGATAGTGAACGCTGTTGGGAGCAAATTCCCAGTGCTACAACGAAACAAAGGAAAAGCTACTTCAAATGACATGTTGTCTTCCAAGAGTAAAGGCTAAACAGGCAAAAACTATTGCATATATTTTTTAATTAACTGTTGCTTAAGTAAGTAATGAACACTTAATTCATAAAAGTTTGTAAATACAAAAGTATAACGAAACAATCTTATTGCTCTACCACTGAGAAATGATCACTGTTAAATGTTAGTGTATTTCTTTCTAATCCTCTTCTTGCATATATTTTTACAGTTCATATTGTGATAAGAAAACACATGGTTTTCTGTATAATCTCTTCATTTTAAAATAAAATTTTCCACATTAATAGAATTTGTAAAAATATGCTCTTACTTCTTCACATGGATTTACTTACAGCTATTATTCAATTATTTGATACTTAAGTGATTTCTAAATATTTATTATAAATACTGCATCGAACTTTTTAACCTACATTTTGCAAATGAAATGCAATGAAATTTTTAGGAAAACTCCTTCCAGTAACTGATATCAATAAATTGTCTCAAAAATATCTGCAGTTCAATATAAAACACATACTTTTACTTACCTGGAGGCTAGTAATTGTAAAATCAGCTATCAATCTAATAAATTCAGGATAGTCCTTCACCATAACTAATTCTCCCAACTGATAATTTGTCTTCAAACGAGCCAAAAATCGACAAAATTCATGATAATTACCTGGATCAGATAAACCCTAAATTATGAGAGAAAAAAGAATGCTTTTAGACATAACTTAAAAACACACTATGAAAAATTTTCCTCTGAGTGCATTTTATTTTAAGCCGTTCAGTTTTCATAGGTACTTAAGCAACTTTGTGTCAATGTGTAAATTACAATGGAAAAACAAGGTGACAGTAGATTTAATGTTGTCGTTAATGATTGAAAGTTGAAGCTTTAGGGCAAACTGTGCCCCATGATGTCTGAATTACAATGTTTGGGATCAAAAATGTTTGTGGGAGAGTGCATCAAGGCTTAAACAGAAATTTTAAAATGCTGAAAGTTTAAAAGGGAAAATCAAGAAAGGTGCCTCTACCTGTAGTTGATTTAAGGAACTGACTACTCCATTCCCACTGCGTAAACTGCGTTCAGTCACTTTAATCTGTACAAGTCAACAACTCAGTCATGCATTGCAGCCCGAAGCTGGTCTGTACTTGTATAATTTCTTTCTCCCAAGTGTTCTGAATACTGTACCATTGACTAAATTAGTGACACTATCAATATAATTACCTTGTGCCCCAGGGGGATGATTGATAATGTTCTCTATCATAAAATGAAATGATGTCTCTAAAGTGAACCAGAGATATATATAAACTATAAATACATGAATGGGGAAAAATATATGTAAGGTGGCCCTTGCTGTCTGTGACCTCCTTGAAAACAAGGGACAAGTATTAGCTTGAGCAATTTAAACTAAGCACTATATTTGGAACAAAGCAGAATTCAAAAACTACCTAATAATGAAAGAATTTATTTAAAAATTTCACTCACATGAGTTCCATTAAAGCACAGAAAACAGTGTCTTAAGTGTAAGGGCCAATTGCAGAAAGATATTTTGCCTACTTAGACCTTTTAATACATGTTTGTAATGCTACAGTAATTAATATGATACCCAAACTAACTTAAACAGCCATTAAACGTTAGCATGAAAGTGTTGGGGAAATCATGGAAGAAAGTTATCTGGCTTTGGGATATTATCACCTCATATTGGCTGATGACAGTAAATCAAACAGCTAAATAATTTTGAAGTACAGTGATATGATCCTAGTTAATCACAGGTCTTTCAGAGCAATGCTAACATTTACAGGTAAAACAAACACACAGGAACACATGAGATATCCCAGAGAATAAAGCAATACACCCAACTTTTTTCATAGTATACACATTATCTTTCCGTAAAAGGTACTATATGCCTCTCCAAAAGTTACTTAACAACCCCCTTTGAAAAATGATCCTTTATGATCACTTATCCTTTAAAATCTACACTTTAATTATAGGTGTATAATTATAAACCAAAACAAAACAAAAGTAAAACAAGACAATTGCATCTAAGGCATCTGAAACCAGCCATTTTTCTGAGAAGAGTATCACTCACCATAGAAGCCCTGTCCTCAATATAGAGTGGATTTTTAAACCTACAAATTCTTATTTGTCCACAAGAGGGCAAAAAGAATCCTTATATAATTTAAGGCCACTTCTTCCAATATTAACATTCAGATTTATAATACATTTTCTAGTTCAGGAGGTGGACACAACTGAATTAATCACTTTTGTAACTTAAGGGGTGAAGGCAAAGAAATTCAGTACAATGGTAAAAGGCAAAAACATAACAGTAAGATATATTAACTCTACATAAATCAACTAAAATATAGAAGAAAATAAAAAGTGGACACATACGTATGTCATATGCATCCATTTTTAAATCTGCCCAAAAAACTGCTATGAATGAGAACTAAAGGAGTTGAATACACTACTTTCCATTTTCTTGCAGAATCATAATAAATTCATGCCGAGTTTATTATGTGCCTTTGGGCAGAAGAACTATTTCTATATGCTAAGTATTAATTAAATTACTTCATAAATACCTGAGGGTTTTCAAGTATCCTTTTTACTCCCTTAATTAAATTACCAAGGTACTTGGCACGTTCAGGACTGCTAAACAAGGACCTTCTTGTGGAAGCAAACTGAACTAAACATGAGAGTGCCTAAAAACAACAACAGAGTTTATTTCAATTTTAAAGTCCCTATAGTCACATATAATTAATAAAAGTCTGCACATTAAAATAGTTGCTTAAACCTAATGACAAAAAAGCATTACAGGACCCAAAAGTAATGAAATCTAACATTCTCCATTGCCTTCATCACTCTCAACTCTTCCACCCCCCATCAAAATTCTTATTTGCACGTATTCCCCTCTAACATTTTGTCTTGTCAAATCTGGGAGAGCAGCACCAGGGTAAGTCTTTATTTAAAAGCCTTTCTGATGCCCATCTTTGCCTGAGAAACACTGAACCGAGGGTTCTGCCACAAAGGACACGTGATTTTGTGGTGGAATGTTCTAGATGATATCCTTCTTGGGGGCGGGGGTGAGATTCGGTGATTTTACTTAATCCAGGTTGTCCCGAAACTTGTCTGGACATGAAATATTTTATCCACTTCATTCATTAGTATCATAAGGCTAGAAAATGTGACCAGAAGCATTATTTACCCTAAGAATTTCTTAGGAGTACCTATCTGTAGTGTAGTTGCCTAACTAAAACCTTCAAGAGTGCACCAAACAATCTCACTATTGGGGTATTTAAGTCATTGATCACTAACTGAGAGACTTCCAAGTGGACAACATGTTTTGCTCTATATTTGTTTACTCACTCTTTAATTTATAAATCACAATGGGCTGTCAATATTGAGATGTTTTACGATAGATTTCAGTAGGTCTCGTGGCGTAGTGCTTTTACAACAGGGGCTAACCACAAGGTCACAGTGCAAAACCAGGAGCTCCGAGGGAGCAAGAAGAGGCTTTCTACGGCCGTAAAGAGTCAGGGGCAGGGTTGCTATGAGTCAGCAAGGACTCAGAGGAAGTGAAAAGACAGATTCCATTCTTGAAAAATGTTTGGCTTTCTTTCTTGGCGAGTATGAGAGTAGAGAGAAAAATTAAAGTATATTTAGATGTTCTCCAGTTTGTCACAGCTCTTTTTTAAAAGAAAAAGTGGAAATTTACAGCCTCCCTAAGCACCTCTGATGTGGGGACCAGGAGTGTTCTCAGAGCTCTGGGTCCAAAAGACCTGAGTTGGAATTTCAGCTCTAATACTGATTTTGTTAGCTAGGGGGATGTCCCTAAACCTGTCTGGGTTTGTTTCCTCTTTTATTGAGTGAGAGTCATAATACTTACCTGGAAGATTAAATGAAATAAGCACCAAATAATAATAATAGGGCCTCTCCAATAAATGTCACTGTTTCTCAAAACAGCTGCTTTATCCTTATTTTATACAGGTATATTTTTTGTTTCATTCTAAAACATAATTACACCTTAAAACTGTGTTTTCCAAACAACTAAGTCAGAATGTGTTAGTTGAAAGATAGAAGGCTCAAGTTCTATGGTGCCACCTGGACCACAGGCGCCCTGTGGAAACCAGTTAGAAAACTAGCACCTCAAAGCCCTAGAGTCTAGAGGAGACGTGTTTGGCTTTTTGGTAAGGGGGTACTTTTGTGAACCTGCTCCTCCTGCCGAGGCGATAGCATATTGTGCTAGTTACTTAATTTCATGTCAACTTGAAGATATATCCAACTTGTTAATGACGTCACAGCCTGAGGGCACCTCCTTGTTGGGGTGGCCTTCTCATCAGGAGGGCCCTGGAAAACTCCCTTTCTCTCTGCCTTCACCTTCCTGCTGATGGACCCTGGTTGCTGCCACAGCCCTATGATGAGTCACCGCCATTGGATCCACAGGACTCTGCTCCCAGCAACCTGAGATTTCCCTGCATTCTGCATCATGCTTGTGACTGTGTGAGTCTCATGAGGGACTTACAGATTTCAGTTACACCGGGCTGGGATGTTGTCTTGATATGATTACTTTTTGATATAAAGCTCTTTCTTACACATATATGAGTGTTACTGGATTTGTCTCTAGTCAACCCAGCCTAAGACACATATCTAAATAAATGTACTGCAGATGTCTACCTTAAATCTGGACTATCTTTCCTTAGGACACAGCAATATTAGTTTCCTAACTTAACTTGTTCAAGCTTGGATATGAAATTGACTTTTCTTCTTTATTAAAACTTTTGCATGATCTCTGTTTCAGATTCCACAATAATAAATCTTATGGTTTCAAAGTTCTACATAACTTGAGTTTCAAGAATTTTTTAAAACATGAATTTGACTAAAACAAACACAAATAAACTAGAATGATTTTCTTAGAGGCGTACAGAGTGATGAGCACAAAGCCCAGTGCGTGGATCTGTTTCACTTCTCAGCAGAGACAGCGCACGGGAAAGGCCTGATAAGCCAGATGGGATCCAGAAAAGGAGAGCAAGAGAAAGAGAGGTGCAGGTCCGTGGCAGATGTTGGGCTGATGTCAAGAGGAAAGGATGGAGGCCCACTAGGAAAGAAGGCAGACTTAGAGACTGATAGGTTTTCTTAGATTTGAGCAGGGGCTAAATTTGGTTCTGTGCTCAACTTTGACATGGAATAGATATTTAACTACAAATATAATCTGACAAATCATTTGAGTACTATATGAGGGGGTATCCAATAAAAACCCCAATGCTCAATTGTTTTTTTGATGTGAGGTGAATAGTGCATTTGGAATTCATTCCACCTGGTCAGACTGTTCATCAGCTTTCTATTTAGAGGTTCTGAAAAGATTGCATAACAGCATGCAACAAAAGGCCGGATTTGTGGCAGATGGAGGACTGGTTTTGCCACCAAGACAACATACCTGCTCACGCAGCCATTAGAGTGCTACTTTTTTTTTTTTTGGGCAAAAAAACCAGCATGTTTCTCTTGCCCCACGCACCTGACTCACCTGACTTCACTTTGTGTGACTTCTTTTTGTTCCCACGAATGAAGAGAGACATGAAAGGACAGCAATTTGAAGACGTAGAAGAGGTGAAGAAAAAAAACGAGTGAGGTGCTGTCAGCCATCCAAACAGATCAGTTTGAAAAATGTTTCCAGGACTGGAATCGCAGATTTGACAAATGTATTAAGTGTAATGGAGAGTACTTTGAAGGTGGTAAAGTTGTTTTGTAAAAAAATTTAAGTACATAGCTAGGGGGTGGGAGGATTCTGGGCTTTTTTGGGGGCACCCCTCGTATATATCCCAGGAGACTTAAGTATTTTTGTGAGAGCTCATGACCAAAAGTATGTGAAAAACAATCAGGTATGTCCATAAATAGATTTTTTTCCCAGTTACATATATACTACCCCTTCTTCAAAGACCCGTTGGCTGCTAATCACAGAGTCAGTGGGTTTTCTGTGAGTGAAAGAGGTTTTCTGCCCCCATCAAGATCTACAAACTCAGAAACCCAGCCGGGCAGGGCACTTCTACCCTACCCTACCCTAGGGGGTCACTATGCGGTGGGATTCACTCAATGGCAGTGGGGTTTTACTCATGTCGATCAGACAGGTTCCTTTTAATGAGACAGTGAATGAATTTTACTTACTAACTGGGACAGTAGAGGTGGAAATGAATGATACAAATTGAAGAAAAGATCCAATGTTTCTGGTTCCAGGAAAACTAAAAAAAAAAAGGAATACCATTATTTGTAATCCACAGGGTACTTTTTCCTGCACTGATACAAAAGACATTATCTTACAAAGAGAGAACACATATAATTCTGTAATCACTCTTTCTAGTTAGGCCAATTTTTAATTCCTACTTTTTTTGAAAGATGATATAATATGGATATAGATTAACTAGTTAAGACAGTCCACAATTTTTTTGTGGCATCTATAGTTCTTACTGGGAGGATTGTGTATTTTCAATTGTTACAATAATATTGTTTACTAATTAAATAGTACCAAAAAGTAAACAGAACTGAAAATAGGGAAGAGCATATAAATAGTAAAAAAAAAATAAAGCTGACCCAATCCCATTCCAGCCACCTTTTAACCTTTCTAGCTAATTTTATGCTCATGTTTCCAAATAATTTGTTCTTCCACCATTATTGATTTGACCGTCTTGAGATATTAACGAATTCCTGTTATATGACAGTCACATGAAGCTTCGGCTGTCTAACTACTGTCTGTACCATCTATCTTCTCTCATAAGATCCATCCTACTCACTCATTCACTCACTGAGGGCCTTGAAGCCGAGTCCGACTCTAGCAAGTCTGTAGGACAGGGTGGAACTGCCTCTGGGTTTCCAAGACTGTAGCTCTTTAAGGGAGCAGTAAGCTTCCTCGTCCTCCTGTGCAGATGGTGGCTTCGAAGTTCTGACCTTGCGGTTAGTAGCCCAACATGGAACCCACTATGCCACCAGGGCTCCAAAATCTATCTACTGTTTCACAAGTGGAGTTTAATCGGGTCTTTTTTTTTTTTTCAATGGTTCCACAGATATTCTCTCCTGGTTGCAGTAGCAGAAAATAGAAATTTAAAGCATATTTGTAGGAATTGAGTTTCTTCCTGGATGGCTGTGGGGGACGGTGCTTGTCACTTTTCAACACTGCGGACATCTTACATTCCCACGTGTCTCGGCATCTAAGTCAGGGGATTTGGCTTCCAAGGGTATGCTTTGCTTCTGGCTGTTGTTTCTGGATGGCAGCCATCAGGCCCTCTGCTTGCTGGCTTCTCTCCCTTGTGCTCTCTTGTAGAAGAGAGATGTGAAGCATGCAAAGGTGTGACTTGAGTAAGGCTGGTGAGAGAAGATGCATCCTCTAACCCTCACCTCCAACCTCCCTTTTTATCATCGCAAACATAACCTAATCCTCATGAACTAGCTGAAATCGCACTAATGTAGGAAATACAAGCCTTTCATAAACGGGATTGATAACCAGAGGCAGCAGTTTAGATAGAGAACATATTGCAAATAAGAGAGCTATATTTTAAACTGGCCATATGGATGATGATCACATCACATGTTCTGTGACAACAGCTCTGAGCAAAGCTGAGTGGTGCCTATGGGCCTGCAGGGTCAGCCTCAGCTCCTCCATCCATCACCTGTCCAAGATTGCCTTGGTGCAAAGAACCTTCAGGGCCCACACAGCAATGCTGAGGTACCAGGAACTCCAGAAGGGTGACCTTGTACAGTGGAACAGTGTGATGCAGCAGGGCTTCAAGACAGGAATGGAAATTGGGCTTCCACAAGACAACAAGATGCTGAGCTGGGAGCAGTGGCCCAGAGCAGACTCCAAGGCACTGAGCTATGAGTTCTTAATCCCACAGGTAGTTAAATTCAGGTAAGTCAGTGGGGCTAGCAGACCTGGGAGGAATGCATGCCTTAAGCCAATCTTGGAAACACCCCTCAAACCCAGAGACCTCAGGTGGCTAGTGCTGGGCCCCAAGGACAGATATGTCAAGTCAGAACCCGAAAGCTTGCAATCTGTTATGCTGAGGGTCTCCAAGAGGGTCCCAAGCAACTTGAACAGCTGGTAGAGGTTGCCACCGAGATATTGGGCAAAGTCCAGGATGAAGTGCTGGAGCAAATGCAGACTGAGGAGCTGAGAGGTGAAGTGGGTAAATAGCTTCTCAACCTTATCCTCTTCCTACAACACCCTGCAATCCAGGATGATTCCAGAGAGACAGAATTTATGCAGGTGACCCATCTGGGCTAGGTTAGGGACAAACCGGTTGAGGCTATGCAGGACCCATGGACAATGCACTCCCACATCCTCAACAGAGTCCATCTGCACCATTTCCAGGCACGTCTTAGTAATGGAAAATTTGGGTAGAGCTCAGATAAACTCCAGCTTCCTACAGCACAGGTATGGCAGGTCCTTACTTTGCTTGACCCTTTCAATGAACAAGGTGAGGAATTCATCTGGGGTGGCTCTCTCAAAACACCAATGAGTACTTCCATGGGGGTAAAGGACTGATGTTTTTCTCCTAACCTGGAATCATCCCTTTTGAGACTTAGTGCTGGGCTGGGGGCTTCTGACTCTTCTGGTGAGGTCACGAAGGCAATGGAATGTGTTTCAGACCACAGGTTAAGAAGCTGATGTCAGTGTCCAGTCTCAATTCTGCACTTTGTTTGCATCGCCTGGACCGAACCTTCTGGGCAAGCAGGATATCAGGCTGTCTAGTTGGCCCGTTAAGATATCCTGGTGAGAAGGCCAAGACTTTGTCAGAGCCCCCAGGGAGAAAGCCTGATGAAGGGTTAGGCCCCCACCATGGCCTTCACTATCTTTGTGTTGCCCAGCAGCAGCTGCCATGAATAAGAGTGGGAAGAATTATGGCAGCAGCCATCCCAAGAGTGGCAATGGCAGAGGCCTCTTCCCTCAGCACACTCTCAATGGCAAGATCCAAGAGTTTGGGAGGGTTCCCCTTGCTCATGCTGATCAATCAGCACCAAAAGGATCCTGGTATTTTTCAACTCACATTTGCAGAGGCTGGCAAGACCCAGGATGCGAGTCAGAATTCAGAATAGAGGCTTCTCCTGACTCAAGTAAATCCAGGGTCTGATGATTCCAAGATGGTAGGAACACAAAATAAGCTGCTTCCTTGAGGACTGTAGAGGCCGTGTCAAAAGCTGAAACAGAATGTCAATTTTCAGAAGATTCTAATCATGTAAAACCTTGTGTCTTGGAGGGTCGGTGGGCAGAAAGTGCAGTTCCACAGACACTCTGACTCAGGTTGCCTTTCTGGGGTGTAGCCCAGTCTTGAGAAGTTCATTTTCCTGGATCCACATCTTGCACTTTTTTGGTTTATACATTAGGTGACTTCTTGAGAGCAAGTGCAGAGGGGTAATTTGGAGACAGATTGCATATTCAAAGATGTCTTTGTTCCATATTAATAATTTGGATCTAGTTTAAAACTATTTTTCCTTTAAAAATCTGACAATATTTCTTCTGCATTATCTTCTGGTTTCCGGTGCTGCCGCTGTTGATAAGTCTAATACCATTTTATCCCAATCTTTCATAGGTAACAATGTTTTCCTGCTAGAAGAGTTTTTAATCATCTCTCTATCCTTGCTATTCTCAAATGTCATGATTATGAGGCTTAGTATATATATTTTTTTCAATTATGTTGGGTATTTGCTTTCAATCTAAAAATTTATGTCCTCAATACCGAGGCTTGTATTATTTATTGGAATACTTATTTCCTCCGTTGTCTTTTTTTTTTAATCGTTTTATTAGGGCCTCATACAATCCATACATACATCAATTGTGTAAAGCACATTTGTACATTCCTTGCCCTCATCATTCTCAAAACATTTCCTCTCCACTTAAGCCCC